GGGGAAATAAAACAGGAGTTGTGTTAAGATGTTCAGACACCCAATAGAAACCTTTTGCAAGGAATCAATGTACTGCATTCACCACAATATACTTGTGGTGAACATGCAAACAAAACATCCTCTGATCATATATGGGCATTGTCTTTGAAACTGATTGTTCTACAGCCTTCTTCATGGGCAAGTCTCACCAGTGTCAGACCAGAGATCGAACAGTACAAATACAACGCACGCATCATATCATTTATAGCTCGGGGTAAGCAGATAAATCATGGGACCTTTTTGCCAGTATAAAAAATAAGAATAGGTTTCATCCTTTCTGGCGATAATAAGTTCGTGGCCATGGATAACGTCCGTGGCAAGTCATGTCCCAAAGAGCCTTAGGCAACTCCATCACACCAACCCACGCTGACCAGCATGGGGAAGTATGGTCAAACAATCCCCGTGACTGAGCTGGAAGGGGGAAGCCTTCACCCAGCAGTGGATCCACACAGGGCTGTAAACATAAGGCAATGAGTTTATGAGCAGTGTGGCTCAGTGTGAACCCGTGTTCCTTATAAGAAACTAAATCCTATTACAGACGGACGCGGGGAGGGGGGGAGCAGTGGCATAATGGTTAGCACAATCCGCTTTGAAATTGGTGACCCAAGTTATATTCCCAGCCGTAGCGAAAGTAATGTGACATCTGAACCTCAGTCCTGCAACCATCTTCACCAACCCCATTGTCGCCTTGGTCTGAGTAAAGCTTCACATCCAGCAGTGTATTGACAAGCGTTTTAACAGACCCATTCGGTTTAACACGTAGGCACGACCAATATTATTCATAATCAACATTTTTGGGTTAGATCGCGTTATTTATAAATGTCAACGTGACACTTATTTTTTGCTGATTGGCCGTGTCGGGTGGTGGAGGGTTACGACATATTTCTAAATAACGCGATCTAACCCAAAAACGTTGATTATGAAAGACCCATTCGGGCTATTCCACACACACACACACATCAACGCATCCGTGAAACTATTCAACGTGGCATAGCCAAGGCAGCAGAGGCCAGCCTGGGTTTGCGCCCAGATTGCAGCGGTGACGTTGAGCCGGCGTTGGTGGCGTAGTATTGCCAGGCACGCGTGCAAGTGCATCGGCAGCTTCCCCTCTCCAGCCGGGGTCGTTCATCCTCCTCGTGGACCTGGCTCTGCGAGGGGCCACTCGCCCCCCCGGGCAGCCCCACGTGACCGACCGTTCATAATCATCCCCCGTCTCGCAAGCGTCATTACCGGACTTAACATTGTTGGTTTGCTTAATTCCCTCCTGACCCGAAGCCCGTCGTCAGTGGTGGTGACGTTCCGCTGGGTTTTTTTAATTCTCATTTGCCGTGTGTTACTACAGTGCGTTTGTTTCTGCCAGTAGTCGCTCAACTTTCTTGCGTGGTTTGCCAGCACGATCGCCGACGATCCAGAATAAGCGCGTAGTCACTTTAAGATGTTCTTGTTTCTTTCGGTAAAGCCACGTAGAAGGGAAGTAATAAAATAATAAAAATAAAAAATAATTAAATAAAACATTATTTTTTATGTATTATTTTCTTACTTCCCTTCGACGTGACTTTACCGAAAGAACCAAGAAGATGAATCCCTGCAGTCACGAAAGCTTTAAATCGAAATTTCACTTTAAGATGTTTTCTTGTTCATGTTTTTGTTTGTTGCGGTTACACCCGATTCAAGAGCCGAATGGCTCACAAGGCTATACCTAATGAATGAAACTGAAAACTGAAACCGAGCACCTTGAGGAAGAAAAAGGAAAAAAACGTGGCACGAAACGTCGGACACCGCGCCGAACGACACGCGGAGCGACCAGAAAATGCATCGTGGAACCTTACGAGGTACCACAAAATGGAATGTTCTTTGGCGGTCTGGGCTGGTGTGTCTCGAGTCGACGCTGGTGAACTTCAGTGTGGTGACAAGCAGCGAGAGACGTGTCATTATTGCTACATCAGCCCCATCTGTCGGAGCCGCGTGGACATTTCACACTTTAAAACATTAACGCGTAAAAACAAAGTTTTTCACTATAAATCCTTTATATGCGTGGCGGCTAGAGTCCTCTCGTCCTCTGGCTTGAGATGGCTGCCACCTATGGGTCAGATGATTGCCTACCACCATTAAGCAATTGGTAATTGAATATAATTTATTTTTTCCTAAAAAGTGTAAAATTTTGGAAAAAATTTTTCACGAAAATAAATTGTCACGCACAACGAGTCTGTGTGCAAAATGTCAGCTCGATTGGATCACGGGAAGTGGGTTAAAAAACGACCGAAAGATTTGCACGGTCGTAAGCGCGCAAGCAAGCAAGCAAGTGAACTTAATATAAAGGATTTAAAAAAGGATACGTGAGCACCGCTTAGCGACAAGTGACAATTTCGGTAACATGGCAAGCCATTATCACAAGATGCTAACATTGGAGCTAGCATATCATGTGCAGTAGAGCGAGATGGATTGTTGCATCGGCAGACTGAGACAGCCAGCGACGACTTGGGGAGGCCTGCAGCCAGCAGTGGCACAGTCATGAGTAACGTATGTTCGTTGAACTTCTTTCGCACCGTACGTAGCCGACCGTGCTAATCGGAGGTGCGGGGGAAGGACAACAAACTAAATACAAAAAGCAGTTTTAAAGAAATTATTTTTCAATATACATTTGAAAGCGCATAACTCCAGTGGCTTCGTAATATCGCAAGAGCGTTCACGACGGCTGCAGAAGCATATCCAAAAGGATGCGGTGCAGTGACCGTCTTTGCTCGATGCTCCGAGGTTGATCGGGGTTCACGCGATGGTTTATGTTCCGTGACGAGAAGAGTTTTTTGCGTGTGATCTGCCCGGTTTCACTACAAAAACTAAAAAACGTGATCACAACAAAGCGAGGATACATCACACTCCCACCCGGCAGTATCTGGACCGCAGTTACGCACGTTAAGCAATGTGTGTGGGTGGCCGTCAAAGAATAATATTCTTCTGTGACACTTTCTGGTGAACGTCGGGACTTTACAACAGCGATCTTGCTCATTGTTGAAGGCCGACGAGTTGCGTACGCCTCTTGGGCAATGGCAATTGGTCCCAGCTACTGCCGAAGTTGCTTTCAGACGCACCAAAACAACCGGCCAACACAGGTGTGGCGGTGGCCCATCATCGCATGCAGTGCAGGCAGGAATCCTTTGCTTACTGGAAAATGTCACTTTCCTGGCACGGCCACGACCACGGGCTCGTGTCTGCGTGTCCACGAGGGCTCTCGACCAATTGCTGTGCCATGGCATTCGCTCGTCCCAAAAGGTCCCTCTGTTTGAATAAAGCCATGCGCCTCCGACTTGAGTGTTACGCATAAAACAGCGCGGGGGTAACAAAAACAATAAAACATCTGTCCTTTTATCAACAATTCGTCCCCCACGACGAGCATTACGTTTCCAAATCTTGTATTTGCGAAATCCACTGCAGCACCGGGTGGCTCTTTGTGCAAAGCACGCGTACGCTAGAGCTCAAGGCATTAATTTTGCGTGGAAACTTCCATTCACTATCCAGTGCGAACAAATGATCATCGGGTCTTGAAGCGCATAAACGTGTCCCTGTGAATTACGACCACGCAGCCTTTAGTTATCGAATTTTAAATGCGCGTAACCACCTTGAAATACTTTGCGGTGGAAACAGAAGGGCAGTTCGCCGCGTAAAACAAGAAGACTTTCCTGCAGCCTTGATTTTTTTTTCTACCTACGTGACTTTACCGAAAGAACCAAAGAGTATAAAGCTTCCTGCAGATTTGGATGGCAGACGCCTGATGTCACCCAGACACCTGCTGTCATCCAGTGGCGTCCTTGGAGTCGTGGACCGCGCGTGGACGAGTCACTGTGCGTGTGCGACCCCGGCTGGCTTGAACTGCCAGGGGGCGTGCGACAGACAGTCCAGCGAACACGACCCGTGCCACCGTGCCGGGTGTCATCGCGATTTAATTGCTAAACTAAAACTGGTGCATTCACCTACCAGGTATGATGGGCTTTTTTGTTCGCACCGTCCGGCTGTGCAAGTGAGTGAATCATCCCACCGGATTGGATCATTGATGGTAGAGGTTGACTGTGGTGGTTTACTGTGATGTGCAGTGGTTGACTGTGGTGGCTGGCTGTGGTGGTTGACTGTGGTGGTTGACTGTGGTGGCTGGCTGTGGTGGTTGACTGTGGTGGTCGACTGTGGTGACAGTGGTTGACTGGTGGCAGTGGTTGACTGTTCACAAACGAGAGGAGTCTCACCATCTGAGCGACAGGAGGCAAGCAAGGGTCTGCTGCCTGGTCACAAATGAGACTTGGATGCTGAACCTCCAGTACCTTGCAACACCAGCTGTCAAGAATGTGAAATGTGGTTTGGAAGCCAAAACACCGTGGCATGTGGTATGTCCACATGCTTCCAAAAACACTTGGGAGAGCTATGCGAAACACCTCCCTACAGCGGGTGTCCAATAAATGACGAACAAAAAATAACACACTTTACACATTCATCAATAACACTGCCTCAAAAGAAAAGGTGACGTTTCGGCTAATGGCCATTCTTCATAACACACATGTACGACGATCTAGTGCGGCTTCAAGGCTGTTTCTGGGCCAGCGGAATCCGGTATCCAAGTATTCGCAGAAGCGAGGTACGAATCAATGTGCAGCATCTCACAGCCCAGCGAAGCCGTGCCGCTCTGGACTTTCACTATGAAGGGCCATTGCCCGAAACGTCACCGTTTATATTTTCCCTTTTAAAGCCACGGTGTTATTGACGAATGCGTTGAGTGTTTTTGGTTGACTGCGCCTGTACGTATGTTGAACTTCTTTCTTGCTGTACATAGCCAACCACGCTAATCGGAGGTGCGGTGAATGTATGCTTAATGAGTGTATGTTGAGCTTCTTTCGCACCGCACGTAGAAAACAGCGCTAAACGGAGGTGCGGTGTTCGCTGCTGCCGGACGCAGAATCACCAAAGTTTGCTTCATCGAATGAGGCTTCGGTTTATTTGGATCAAACCTTGATTTGCTAACTTGAGCAAACAAAGCATTTTCCAATATGGAATTCTCTTTAACAGCCACCGCTGCTGCCATGTGATGCAGTTTTCGTGTTTGCATCCCGATTAGAACTCTCTGTAGTTTAATAGAGTTCATAAGGTGCAGCTTTATTTCAAATTTAACATTCTTCTTTGTGTTCAAAATATATTCAATCCATGTTATGAAGGGCATAATATATATTTATCCTCCCAAAGGAGGTTAGTCACCAGTGTGCTGTACTAGTAACGGATTTGATTACGTAACAACCCTTACTAATTGGCTGTGTCGGGTGGTGGCGGGTTTAACGACACATTTATATTTAAGCGATCTAACCCAAAAACCTCTATTATGGACGCATTTATCCTGTTTTACAGGTTGGCTACACAAACAATTGGGAAGGACTTCCACCTGTTAATCCATGTTCTCGATTTTTGCAAGGAACTTTTATCAAAATAAATGGCAGTTATCAAAAAAAATAGTTAATTGTAAACCTGCTAACTCGGGCACATCAACGCAGCACGCACACAATTTACCTTCCAGGTAAATGTAGTTTTATAGCAACTTCACAGGTGGACGGTGTCTGGATCCGAACCCAGAACCCCATTAGTGTCAACTCAGCGCTCTGATTCCCGAGCCATCTGGACACCTCCTGGAGTAACAACGTTCCACAGATGTGTGGCTTTATTGCTTAAGCAACAGCACGTTGACAAGGCAGCAGCGTGGATAACTCGGAGAAGGTGATTCTAGCTGTGATCTCAAAAAAAACGCTGAGGAATGCTCCTGGCTGCATGTGGAACCAATAGTTGCCTACCTCTCTGGAAAATGTCTATTTTTTATGCACTGTATATCAACACATTCATCATGAACACAGCCTTACAATGGAAACATGAGTGAAGCGGTGGTGCATTGGGTTTACGCACAGTGCGCTATGACTTTGACAACCAGAGTCTGATTCCTGGCCAGGACACCGTCATTTGCCTTCTCAGCCAGCCAGCCACCTCCTTGTTAAGTGAACGTCTCAGATGCCAATGGGCCGACACTGACATCCATTCCTTGCTCAGGTGTGTGCGGTCTTGTTGGGGTAGACGGTGCGGAAGGTGAGGTTTATTCTGCCAGCCCGGCTGTGGTATTCCTTGGGTACTCGGTGCTGTAAGGGGGACACGGAGGGGGGGGGGGGGGAGTCGGGGGGGGAGTCAGGTGGGGATCGTCATACGCTTTTATAATTCTAGATTTGAAGCTTTCGTGACTGCAAAGATTCATATTCTTAGGTTTTTTCCGGTTAAGTCACGTAAGTAAAACATCAAAATAAAAATAAAATAAAAATCACGACGTTTCGGAGGCAACACAAGTCTCCGTCATCAGGTGGGACCGTCACAGCCGAATTAGCTGCATCACTTGATGCATCACTTGATGCAGCTAATTCGGCTGTGACGGTCCCACCTGATGACGGAGACTTGTGTTGCCTCCGAAACGTCGTGATTTTTATTTTATTTTTATTTTGATGTTTTACTTACGTGACTTAACCGAAAAAACCTAAGAATATGAAGCTTTTATAATCATTAATAGCAACAGGCCTGATCTAGCCACTGCTGGATGGAGGAATCCCTGCATTGTTGCCATCCGTCACGGTCTTGTGACGCCCTAATCCATATCGCTCCTGCAGAGGGGCTCATCTCACCGCTCCACGTCAGACGTGGTAGTCCTCCTGGGTGTGTCCCCTCCTTGGGCTGCTATTCTATCACCAGTCTCGTCGATCGGCAATCATCCCCCCTTCTAGCGATGTATCCTGCCCAAACTCAATATAATATAAAAAAACATAATTTAATTGAACGATACAATCGGTATTTGAAACTTGATAAGTGGCAGTACAGATAATTTCAAGGGCATATGTCTCCGTGTATAAGTGTGTATACATTGGTGTCCGCACGCGCGTGTTTGTTTTTGTGCATGTGCGTGTATGCACGTAAGCGCATTTGCGTAAGTCTGAGTGTACCTACGAGTAAGTAATCATGTGTCTTTGTGTAGGTGGCCGGGCGTGGTGTTGGCCACCCACCCTGTCGTGTGCCGTGCCGGCCTTCTTCATTGGTGCTCGCTAACGGCACTTGCCCCAACAGTCTGTGAAAGGCTTTACGGGGGTGGGGGGGTCTTCTTCTTGTGTGTGGCAGGGTGTAGTGCTTACCTGCCAGTCGTCCTGCGAGGCCCCGAACATGAGAATGAGATCGCCGTGGCCTAGAGGAACGCGTAGACGCTCCACGTACGTGAAGTCCCCTTCATCCTCCTGGCACAGAATCGCGTGCGAACGTGAACAATGCCAGAACATCGCTCTTTGCTCACGTCACTGCTCTAAAAGTGTCCTTCCTTTGACGCTGAACTTTTGTATTATGATGATGGTTTTCCTGTTAAAGTTGCATCATAGCAAAGGGATGTATCAAGGCATAAATACGTGAAATGATGAGCAATTAACACGTCACCCTCTGATGGGTTTATGAGCTGTATAGCGTATTGTTCGGCACAATGTCCGACCTTCCGCTACGCTTGCTGGTAACTTATTTCAGGAACTGAATTTCCAGTTCTGTGTGGCCCCCAAGTATACCAATGCAGTTTTATTGTTCTATTTATTATTTTATTATTTCCCTTCTACGTGACTTTACCGAAAGAACCACGAATATACCAATGCAGTCTCTGTGGCCTAGAAGAAGCGAGTGCAGTGAAACGTCGGACATCACGCTAATCGAGAGAGCCGAACAAACGAACGAACGAGCGAAGGATTCAACGAACGAACCGTCTCGTGCCAGCGCAGGATTCACTCACCGGCGGGGGCTTCTTGCGCAGCTCGAAGGAGCGCATCTCGCCCAGGCTGAGGGAGGCGATGGACGGCTGGGGGCCCAGGTCGGGCTCGTCGTCGCAGTGCCAGTCCACGCTGTCGTGCTCGTTGCGGTACCAGTTGGCGAGCACCGAGTTGCACTGCAGCCCCGTGACCTCGGCGATGCGGTCGCGCAGCATCGTCACCAGCGGATGCCACTAGGGGACGCCGCAGGCAACACCGGGACACAGACGTGGGACGGGAGCAACGAGAGGGAAAGGGTCTTCAAGTGACCTCATTTTGGGAGAGAATGAATCGTAAATGTGCCGTAGTTTCGCTCGCAAGGCCTCTGGCATGAACACTGAATCTTAATAATGCTAAATATGCCTTACTCTGGCTTTTAGAGTCTTGCATATTAAAAGTGAACCCTAAAAAAATCCTAAAGGTGCCTTAATCTGGTGATTTTGCACTTGGGCATTCCCACTGGACTTTAAGAACCCTATGCGTGCTTTAGTGTGGCTCTGTGAGCCTCAGGCACACACGAGGGCAAGAGCAACACGAGGAGGGGGTCTTGAGTGTGCTCGCTTTCAGGCCCTCGTCAGCAAGTATAAAAGAAACTGGCCAAACATTGCAATGCACGACCCTGCTGATAAAAAGTTATGAGACTTAGTGAAGCCTTCTTGGGTAATTTAAAGCATCATCATTATTTTCATTTTTATTTGAAAAGACTTCTTGCGTGCACTAAGGTTGCACTACCGTGCATGTACCACCTTGTGCAGGCATCCCTTAGGGGCCGTCCATAAATGACGTCACGCGATTTTGGACGATTTTTGACCCCCCGCCCCCCCTTCGTCACACGGCGTCACAAAAAGTCAGACCCCCCCTCAAATATGACGTCACAAAGCTCTGCCCCCCCCCCCCCCCAAAAAAAAAATGCTTCAAATCGCTTTAAACTATTGTCATTGTAGTGCGTATTTAATGTGGCGCTGCACTCTGATGTTGTAGGAGAAACATTTATAAAAAAGTCTATTTAATTAAATAGAACGTGTTGTCTATATATATTTAAAGTTGTGTATTTTTACGTGACGTCACATTTCTCAAACCCCACCCCCCTTGTCACACATCGTCACAAATGTCTGACCCCCCCCCCCCCCCCAGGTGCCTGACGTCATTTATGGACGGCCCCTTAACCGCTGACAAAATGCGTGGAGAGTCGACCGCAAACACAATCGAGTGGCATCATAAAACTTTGTGTTTGTTTTGCAGCGGAATATCTTCCTGTGTTGCCTGAAGACAAGCTCTAGCATTGGGTAATAGAGCAATCCCCAGGAGGCGCTCAACCTACAATAGAAATTTCTTTAGGGGGCTCGATGTAATTATTCTCTACGTGCACATGAAGGCACAGTGTTTGCTTGAAGCTGTGATTGCGTGCGTGCGTTTACACTCACATGTGGGTTGGCTTCCATGGTGAGCCGCGAGTAGGTGTAGGGATGGTCACCGTACCAGCACGTCAGCTGGGGCTCCAGACTCGTCACCCCTGCTCCACATGACAAGTTCAAAGGCCGAGGTTAATGACAACTATGTGATGCTTAGTTAGTACTAACTAGGAACTAGGAATGCCACTCTCTGAAGTATATCCATAAGAATCCTAAAGATGCCTAAGTTTGGTCTATTAAGCTCTGGCATTATTATATTCTAAGGATCCTAAACAAATGGGTGCTGCCGTGGCGAGATGTTAACTACCTCGCCTGGTATACAGGAGGTCATGGGTTCGATCCCAACCCTGATGCCTGTATACTTCGAGTTTTCACATCGTCCGTGGCCATGTGGCTTTTTCTCTGGGTCCTCCAGTTTTGATCTCCACATTTAAAAACATGCGTTTAAAAGAGTATTCGGGGGCTATGCATTGTCACGTGATAAGCCATTTCGTTGAGGTATCATTTGTGGCCAGGTCGCTTCTGAAAAATAGCTATATAGCTCAGTGGGCCTTACCTGGTAAAATAAAAAATATTTAGTTTATAGTTTAAATGGGCATCTGGCATTCATAATAATCCCACAGAATCCAAAAGGTGCTGAAGCTTGGCTCTGAGCCTCAGGCATTTACACGATGACCATGATAATATGAAACACTGCTGGATGAGACTTAATCCGAAATGTCATCATTGCATCTACAACCGGTTCCCGAGCGATTGAGAGCTTGGTTCGAGGGAGATGGCTGTGTCACTCTGTGGACACGTCGCCCCTTCTTGATGCGCAAACTCCAGCAGCAAATTGCGCTCACTTCGGCTGGTGGTCGACGTTCAAAGTGGAACTGCGGTCCTCAAAGGAATGGCGCCACCCACTGTCGTTGCCCCCCCCCCCGCCCCCCCCGTGAATCAGACAAATCACCGGAGTACGGCAGCAAGAGCAGTTTAAGCGAATGCTGTCGCAAGAGGTCACACGTTTGGCGCAATCGGCCCTTCGCTGGCCATGCGTGATGAATGGATGGCTGAGAGGTACACGCCAGGTGAAATCATGCACAGGCGGCGAGCGGCACCGTGCTTGGTGTACGTCCTCTGCCCCCATGGGATCTCCGCCGCGAGCTGCTCGAACATCCAGTCGGCCTCGGCGCGCTCAACAAATCCAGGAAAGAACCGCAGGCTACAAGACACCCAGCACATTCCCACAGCCCTGGTCAGTCCACTGCTGGATGATGGCCTCCCCAAGCCAGTAAGCTATGTCTGTGGGTGTGTTATGTCAAACACGCACACACTTGTATAAACACACACACACGAAGCAATGTCTATTCCTATACACTGGCTGTACGTCTTATACTGATCAGTACAATGTGTGTTACACAATTTGAGACGTCGCATAAAAACATGCCAAGCAAATAAGAGAGGTCAAGAAGATGGAAATGACAAATTGTCAAAATGTCATAGAAATAAATGGGCCGTACAATGCACCGATGAACATCAACGTCAATTCCTACCTGGACACACCAGTCGGGCCCGTGCTGATCTCGTAGTCACCTGCCGCGCTTTAGAAGGAAAGCACAAATCACAAATGTCATTGTCAATGAAATGCATATTCGATTTTAATACCATAGTCTACTTGAGACAGTTGTTGTATTTCTGTAAAAAATAAAAGTGCGGATTTTACTCACTTAATGACTTTTACATCAGGTGCTCTTCTCAGAGGCTGTTAACACATTAAACATAACTTTAAAAGGCATATTAACAGGCATGATACAAGCATCATACCTGGGTTACAATGGCTCAAACTCTGGAGCTACGCAAATAGGTTGAGGGATGCATGTCACCTATAACTCAGCAGCGCCTGAGTCTCTATCTCTTGTCCAGATGTACCCAATCTATTGTTCAATAATTATCCTCTCCCTTCATGCACCAAGATACTAAACACGTATTCTTGGTTCTTTCGGTAAAGTCACATAGAAGGGAAATAATAAAATAATATAAATATAAAACAATAAAAATTATCACGACGTTTCGACTGCAACACAAGCAATCATCATCAGGTGTGAAATCCACAGCAAGAAAATTTGATGAGGATTGCTTGTGTTGCAGTCGAAACGTCGTGAGAATTTGTATTGTTGTATATTTATATTGTTTTATTATTTCCCTTCTACGTGACTTTACCGAAAGAACCAATAATATGAATCCCTGCAGTCACGAAAGCTTTAAATCAAAATTTATACTTAACACGGTTGAGTCTCGTGTCACCTATATTGCTTATAGGATTTGCTGTACTGCCATGTCCGTGCTACCTCTCAAGTTAGGAAGTTTCATGAATCTGAGTGAGCCACCCATCCTTGCCCCCTAACCGCTGAACGACAGGCAGGCACCATCAAGCCTATAATAGTGATAAAAACATCGTTTCGTGGAGCATAACTACATTAGACAATGTTGTGCAATCCGCAAACACGCAGTAAATTCACAAGTATTTACACTTGTGGGAGTAAACTGGAGCACCTGGAGAAACCCCACGCATGCGAGGGGGCAGCGCTCTATCCCATGCAAATGGAAAGATGGAGATAAGTCCACACTTTCTGTACAGCCTTTGCCTGGCAAGCCAAGATATGGTACAAGAACACCCATGGGACGGGAGTTTCACAGCATTGTGTGTGACCCACCACTGGCTTATGTACCTACACAAGGATAATTATATTTCCCAAACAGCTTAAAACACGTGGCTTTTAATGTACAATTGTCTTAGCATGATACTCACTTTCTCCGGGTCCACATACACAAACTTCCCATCTCGAGTTTCAGCGTTGTTCTGCTTTGGTGCAGAGATGGGCGTCTTTGTCACTTGTAGAGAAGCTGGAGGAACACGAAGTAAAACAATGCTATTTATAAATGTGTCGTAACCCTCCACCACCCGACACGGCCAATCAGCAAAAAAAGTGTCACGTTGACAAAAGACAAATAGTTCACTGCTTTAGCCCACCGGTGTGTTGAAGCGTGAAACCACAACATTTACAATTTTTGAGTACGACGTTTCGCTGGTAAATTGCATCAAGCATCATCGGGCAATTGATTATTAATAATATTGGTCGTGAAAGCCTACGTGTTAAACTAAAACAATGCTGTCACAATCTTAATTTTAGAACTTTCGTGACTGCAGTAAATGATTATTTGGTTCTTTCGGTTAAGTCACGTCTAAAGATAAAATAATAAATTACATTAAATAATAGCATACGACGTTTCGATTGCAACACAAGCAATCATCATCAGGTATAATGAAATAGCGACACACTTAAATTCTAACTTAGCAATCTTTGAAATACGTAATCAACCAGGCTATACGTTAATTGTGTGTTGACCGACTCTCTGTGTTGTATTACATTACATTTCGATATTTTGCTAGGTTATTGAATTTTAGTTTGTCCTTCTGATTTTCAGACTTGCTTGCCGTGTCATCGCACTTGCAGAACCTTGTTTTTGGACCACTCATTGATATGCAAATGTTTTCTCTAACCCCCTCCCTCTCTCTGCCTCCTCCCCCCTCTGTCTATTTAAGGCCACCCCACAGAGATGATCACCCCTCTCTGGTTCCTGTGTTGCTCCCTCTATGTATCTTGGTGATATCTGTCTGCTAATATGTCTGTCTATAGTTTTCTGGTTAGATTTTATGTCGCTATTTCATTATACCTGATGATGATTGCTTGTGTTGCAATCGAAACGTCGTATGCTATTATTTAATTTAATTTATTATTTTATCTTTAGACGTGACTTAACCGAAAGAACCAAATAATAATGCTGTCACAATTCATGCCAGTGTCCACCAGAAACTGTTGATGATTACAAAACGTTTCATCAGCCCGTTGTCAATCCACTCCTTGATGAAGACCTCTCCGGGCAGCTGGTGCCGATACAGAAATATCTCGCCAACGACGGCGAGAGAGTGAATTTAGTGCAATGTGCTAACCACTGCACCACCGCTCCCTCCCTCCACCTGTGTTCATGTCGGTTTGATAGGCTCTGGGTGGACTAGGCCAGGGGTGACTACGCCAGAGGTATCAGTAGGTGGACTAGGCTAAGGTGACTATGATAGAGGTACTGTACCTGAATGTAGTCTAGCCTAGGGGTGACTAACATCGGTGGTCTATGCAAGGGGTGAATACGATGGGTGGAGGAGGCTATGGGTGACTGATCGGTGGACGAGGCTATGGGTGACTACGACAGGTGAACGATGCTATGGGTGACTGATCGGTGGACGAGGCTATGGGTGACTACGATAGGTGGACGAGGCTATGGGTGACTACGATAGGTGGACGAGGCTATGGGTGACTGATGGGTGGTGTGTGCTAGGGGAGGCTGTAACAGAGGAACCTGCAAGTGGACGAGATTTGTTGTTGGCGGTTGGCGTCGCCCATCCGCCCTGTACACGGGGACGACTCCGTTTGTCCATCTCTGTGCGACAGACATAAACACAACGTAGCGTTCGTACCAGGCTAGGTGCACTTTGCGGCAAAACTTGTACATCACACCCAGTATACATAATGGAGCATGACGCGTCTATACATGCTGTATATGCGTGCAGAATATGGCACGGCAGACGGCAGTGCGGACACATCGACGGCTGTACGGTACTTCTATGCTCCTTCACAACAACCGCCGTTCACCACGAAGCGGCGGTCACGTCACCACGGCGCTTGTGCCAGGCTAGGTGCACTTCGAGGCACTTTCACGAACCCGCATCGACCGAGCTTCGTGTCGTACGACCCAGACCACGTCTCATGGAGGAATCCGATGAGCTGTGAAGCGCTTGTTCACAGGCGTTCAAGTCGGCCCGCACGCGGCGCGGGGAGGCCCTTATCCAGCAGTGGATAGACCAAAGGGTGTACGTCTGTCCACGTGTACTATCGGCGTGCACGGTAACAACAGCGAGCGTTGTGTGTGTGTGTTGTGTGTGCTGGAGAACTCACCGCTCAATCAACTCCACTAATTAACGCATGGACAGCGGCAACACCGATGACGTCATCGCGTCGTGACGTCACCGGGCGCGCATTGATGCGACGTCACGTACATAAGGCGATGACGTCATTCCCCCGAACGTCGATGTCTGGTTTCGGGATTTCGTGACGTCATCAAGCCGGCTCGCGAGCCCGATGACGTCATTCCCCCCGACGTTGCGCGGAAATATCTTGCGCGAGGGGGGTTGCGTGACGTCATCGAGCCCCGCTCGCGGCGACGTCATTCCACCGCGCTGCGCGGCCAATGTCAGCTTACACTGTTGCGTGACGTCATCGAGCCGGCTCACGAGCACGATGACGTAGTTCCGCCGACGGTGACGTCACCGCGAGTGTATCCGGCGACGACATCGGCGTGCGACTTGTGGGCCCCCTCTCTCTCTCCGTGCGTCGCCGTGGTTCTGCTCCGTCATTGCCTCTTGTCGCCGCCTCTGCGAGTCTCTTTCTCGGTCGGAGTCTCCCCGAGTCTCCTCCGCGTGTTCTCTCACAATCTCTCGGACGATTATTGGGGGAGGAGGGAGGGGGGGTGAAGGCCCTCTGCGTGTCTCCTGAGTTGAGTCTCAGAATCGTCGAATTCGCGTCTCCCCAAGCGGTCTCTATCGGCTTCCTCCGTCTCTCTCTCTCTCGCGCTTAGTTCCGAGCCCTTCTTGAGTCTCTCTCTCCCGTGTCTCTCTCCTAGTTCTAAGTCTCTCACCAGAGTCCCCGCTCCTCCACGGATAGTGCCACCACATACCTCCTCCGACTTGTCTGCACATCTCCCATTTAGCGTGACCACCACCACCGCTCTCCCGACACCACCGCCACCACCACCATGCCGGACTACCTGGGCAGCGACCAGCGCAAGGTGAAGGCCAAAGACTCGGCCAAGGAGGGCGGCGAGGATGGCGATGGTGAGAAAGTGATCCGCTCCCTGGACGAGGGTGACATCGCCCTGCTCAAGACCTACGGGCAGAGCGCCTACAGCCGCCTCACCAAGCAGGCGGAGGAGGACGTGCAGTCGATGCTCAAGAAAATCAACGAGCTCACGGGCATCAAGGAGTCTGACACAGGCCTGGCTCCCCCCGCCCTGTGGGACCTGGCGGCTGACAAGCAGACCCTGCAGAGCGAGCAGCCCCTGCAGGTTCGGCGGCACGGCTATTATACATTGCGTATTTACAATCACAAGTCGGGTTGGCTCCGCACATTAACATGGGTTAGGCCATCGGGCAATTGGCTTTGCAGGCGGGTATTATGAAGGCGGGTTTGTTTATAGTTGCAGGGGTGGGGAACGTACGGCCCGTGGGCCGTACAAGGCCAGCGAAATCAGTTGTGTGGCCCTGCCAAGGGAACCGCAGGCGGGACTCGAAATTCAACAAATCTAGGAGCAAACCTGGAAAAGCATTTGCGAGTAGCAACATCATCAATACCGACTAACATCACGCGCCTCGACAAAGAGAAGCAGTTCCTGCCATCGCATTAGGGGCGAGTTACTTAAAAGTTTGACCAAATATAACGGGCTAATTTTTAAGTTGGTGATTTTGTATGGCCCGCGAATGATGTTATAACTATCCAAATGGCCCTTGGCAGAAAAAAAGGTTCCCCACCCCTGGTTTATAGGGAGAAAACTTGCGACCAGAGGCTTGCGAAATAAACCCTGCTGTGTCACGAGATGTTGGTGGCAAGATCACTCCGTCGTTCACTTTGTGGGGCCCCGTGCAACGCAAACAGTAGCTTGCCCCTACAGGTTAGGTGGAGGTGCCGCGTAATTTAAGGCCGATCCTATTCTTTTGTCCGTGTAGATTCGTGACATAAACATTCTCTTGTACTGCAGTCAATAACCCCACAACCACGAAAAGCTATCGACGCTTGCCATACACTCAACTCTAACCCCAACCCAAAAGCCTATCCCCTACATTTTAACCTGTTGCCATGAATCATAACCAAATCAATACTTTATCCCTAACCCTGCACGAAAACCAAATAAGTGATGTCCCAAAATACTTAATCATCTAACACCCAAACGGACGAATATCGTGTCTGTACTTAGATAAAATAGATCCACGACGATAGAGTATTTCCATTTTGTATGCTTTCCAAATGAGGTTAAAAGCTTAAATTAACTCATTATCTCCGTCTCTATCATGCTATCACAAAACCTGGAAAGATTATCCAATATGAGTGAAAGTTACTTTAAGGCTGTGTTGCTATAAAGGACTCGCCCGATAGAAAACGGGCCAAATTAACCCAAGGATTTTTTAAAAATACAATTCCGAACTTATGGTTAACTGATATTTCAACAGTCAACATGTCGTGAAATGTTATCGCATCGCGAAACATTATTTTGCTGCAACGCTACTTGCAGGTGGCCCGCTGCACCAAGATCATCAATGCCGAGGGTGAAGACGCCAAGTACATCATCAATGTGAAGCAGTTTGCCAAGTTCGTGGTGGACCTGGGCGACCAGGTGGCACCCACGGACATCGAAGAGGGCATGCGGGTCGGTGTGGACAGGAACAAGTACCAGATCCACATCCCACTGCCGCCCAAGATCGACCCCACTGTTACCATGATGCAGGTGATGTTTCTGCTGCTACGGCACGTGTGGCCTGTTATGTATGTACTATCTTGAACTTCTTTCGCACCGTACGTATGCAACCGTGCTCATCGGAGGTACGATATGGTGTGGAACGTGGGGGTTATGGTGAAACGTGACGCATTGTGAATTATGGTGAAAGAAGATGCATGGTGAACCATGGGACATGGTGAACAATTGTGGACCATGTGGTATGGTGTGTATCATGGTGAATTATGGGGCTCGGGATACCATCTTATATGGTGAGGAATGTGCATTATAAACGATGGGATTTGGTGAAGAATGTGGTAGGAGATCCTGGGTCACTGTGAGCCATGGGGCTCTGCCTTGGAGATGTCACCATCTCCCAAGACAACCCTGAGTTGTGTACTGGACATCATGCACTGTCATTTGTGAGAGGCCTCTTACATCAGGTGACAGTCCACTGAGACAGGAATGAGACCTGGGTTTAATACAAATACAACTAAAATGGGGGTCCTCATCGAATCTCTTCCATTAAGATAGAACTGCTCTTGAGGCCTCAAGAGACTACGGATTTACATCCTTTCGACCAGCTGTGATATCATTGTCTACAACTCTTTCACCTGTATTCACTCACGACTCTCTCGTCATTGCCGCGTGGCACCGCACAGGTGGAAGAGAAGCCCGACGTGACGTACAGCGACGTGGGTGGCTGCAAGGAGCAGATCGAAAAGCTGCGCGAGGTGGTGGAGACGCCGCTGCTGCACCCCGAGCGCTTCGTCAATCTGGGCATCGAGCCGCCCAAGGGCGTGCTCCTCTTCGGGCCGCCGGGCACGGGCAAGACGCTGTGCGCGCGCGCCGTCGCCAACCGCACCGATGCCTGCTTCATCCGCGTCATCGGCTCCGAGCTGGTGCAGAAGTACGTGGGCGAGGGCGCCCGCATGGTGCGCGAGCTCTTCGAGATGGCGCGCACCAAGAAGGCCTGCCTCATCTTCTTCGACGAAATCGACGCCATCGGCGGGGCGCGTTTCGACGACGGCGCCGGCGGCGACAACGAGGTGCAGCGCACGATGCTGGAGCTCATCAACCAGCTGGACGGCTTCGACCCGCGCGGAAACATCAAGGTGCTCATGGCCACCAACCGGCCCGACACGCTCGACCCCGCTCTCATGCGCCCCGGCCGCCTCGACCGCAAGATCGAGTTCGGGCTGCCAGACCTCGAGGGCCGCACGCACATCTTCAAGATCCACGCGCGCTCCATGAGCGTGGAGAGGGACATTCGCTTCGAGCTGCTCGCGCGACTCTGCCCCAACAGCACCGGAGCGGAGATCCGAAGCGTGTGCACCGAGGCCGGCATGTTCGCCATCCGCGCGCGCCGCAAGGTGGCCACCGAGAAGGATTTCCTGGAGGCCGTCAACAAAGTGATCAAGTCCTACGCCAAGTTCAGCGCCACCCCTCGCTACATGACCTACAACTGAGGTGTCGGGATTGCACGGAGGGTGCAATTGTTTTCTTGGCATTTGTTAGGAAAAGTTTTTCTTTTTACATAATACTACGGTAAATGCACACGCGAAAGTTAAAAGTGCTTGGCAAAGTTACCCGTCCTGTTCAGTGAAAGAGGGAATTAAAAAAAAATTTCCAAGCCAGGTTTTGTAGTTGGTTATAAGCATACAGGATGCCACACGCACGAGTCTAGAAATACCTGTTTTGTGGTGTGAATTTCTGTTTTGAAACCATGTAATGCTCTTTGGATTGTAAAACATTACGAATTAGACAAATAAAAGATTACATAAATGGAAAAAGCCACTGTTAACGGACTTTTATTTCAGGTCTGGTTTTTTTTGTAAAGGCAGAACTGTGCTGCTGGTATTGTGGCAGTACAGAAATCGGAGGTCATGTACCCATCTGTGCGAACCTGAGCATGATATATCCTCTTCTTGGTTCTTTCGTTAAAGTCACGTAGTAGGGAAATATAATAAAAAATAAACAATAAAATACAATTCTCACGACGTTTCGGCCACACCGCAAGCAGCTGTCTTTCTGACAGACCTGTTCTTCACCTGAGGACGGCTACTTGCATTGTGGCCAAAATGTCGTGAGAATTGCATTTATATTTTTATTATTTTATTATTTCCCTTCTACGTGCCTTTACCGAAAGAACCAAGATGAATCCCTGCAGCCACGAAAGCTTTAAATCGAAAAATGATATCCTCTTGTAGTGTTTTCTGACTACCAGTGTTCTCCCATTTGTACTCCTTGAAAGTGTCTTGGAGTTGTGAGGAAATTATATATATATGGCCATTGCAAAGAACTGTAGATTTTTCACATTACAATAGCTTCTCACTACAATAAAATATGCAGCATGCAGAGTACGCTACACCTATTGCCATCACAGCTCCTCCAGTGTCTTCCCCAGCACCTGATGCATCAGTCAGTCCTTAATGGTTGCCCCCAGTGAAGAAGCTGATATGGCTGCATGTTAAAAGATGATACACCAGGAGCATTTTAAAGAACACATCAGCAATAGTTGCTGTATGATTTATGTATATGCACACTTAAAAAAATTGTTGCCTTAATTTAGGAAAATCTCATTGCCTCAGTGGGCAACCGATATGGCAACTTGCAATCAGATCCCAGGTCACATGGACCCGATAGTGTGCTTTGACCAATCTTTTGCCATATATAAAAAAGGTTTTACCCTCTGGAAATAACAGGTGTTAAGATGTTCAAACTCCAAATAAACCTTTTGCAAAGAATCAAGTCTGCATTAACCACACAATTGTGGTGAACATGCAAACAAACATGCTCTGATAATATATGCAGTCTTTGAAATTAATTGGACTACACCACAGCCTTCTTTCGACGCTAAAGAAGGCTGTCTCTGGTGTATGCCAATGAGTTTCGAAGACAATTCCATATTATCAGAGCATGTTGCATGTTAACCACAAGTACTTGTGGTTAATGCAGACTTGATTCTTTGCTTAAGGTTTCTATTTGGTGTTTAAACATCTTAACGCTTGTTTTATTGGCAGAAAGGGTAAAACCTATTCTTATTTTTTCATACTTTTGATACTGGCAAAAAGGTCCTAATCTTTCAATTTTCAACATGGCAACTTTGTATGGGCATACAAAGTTGCCATAGTTGCTGATAGTAAATGCACTGCCAGCAACAATATATACAATTAAGGCCTAAAAGACGGCTTTCCTCTCTACAACAATAAAAATACATTTGAAAGTGCTAGCATGGCAACAAGCGTCACCTTAATGAGGCAACATTGGAAAACATTTGAATGTAATCCAACAGTTGTTTACTACTTGGGTGTCAAATCATTTTATATACAAATATCAAGTGGCCAAAACGAGGTCCGTGGTTTTCCCTTGACCGCGAGTGGATTCGTGACATCACACGTAGCTCGGGAAGCCAAGAGCTGGCTCTGATCAGACAACCTTAATAAGGTTGGACAATGCTAGTGGTCATTAAAGTATGGCCACAAAACTTGACTGCCTCAACAACCAAAGCATGTTGTGTTAACACAATGGAAAGGTTCATTACAGAAATATTTTATTCAAACATAACTCAACTCCAATTACATTATTTATTGTTGAAGACGAAGTTTTAAAACACTGCTTTGAACACCATCCCGATAACCTTTGACCTCACCCAGACCACTGCATAACGAAGGCGCATCCTTGCTTGGCCCAGTCACTCGGCCTCACGGGGGAATGGGCGAGGGAGGAGAGTGGATGGGGATTGGAAAGGGGATGAACAGAGATAAAGCCGGGGGGGGTGGTGGGGGGGGCTTTATCCCTGCACACAACTGTTTACATAATGGACTGCAGGCTGTCAAGAGTGACTGGCTACAGCCTGCTCAAGGTGGTCATGAACACACATTGCGTGCAGAAACACAAAAAAGGGCACTTATAAATGCAAACGGCCCCCCGCCCCCCCCGAATAGGCAAGCCATCATAAATTGCTGGCCTTGTGCCTGCTTGCATTGGTTTCTGCATCGGCTGGCTGGCTTTCCGAGTAGGAGTCATACATAGTAGTCACAGGTGCCGACTCGCAAGCATGGAAATTTGCTAAATTTCTCGAGTTCACTTTCTCGCTCCTACAAAGAGAAGCCTATCTCTGCCCATGGGAATCGCCAGTGATTACGCGTGATGACATCACCCCAATGACTTAGGGTGCACATTGAACATGGATACACATTGTTATAGTACACTAATAATAAAAATATGAACTTAATAAGCGCTATTTAAAATTATTTTGAAGCAGTAAATATAGTATAATTAGGTGAAAACGTGTGCATGTACTGTTTAAAGTTATTCAAACAGAAGCTCCGCCTCATTGCATCCCGCTGAGCATTATTCAAGCATTCGCCCCCTTTATATTCATATAAAAATGGCCTTTTGACATGTTTGATAATATAATTAATGGGCGCTGTGAAAAGTGCATGCTTTGTTACAAGTACCGTTATCAGCAGTGCTTAAATTCTGATGCGCAAAAGGTACATGGCGCAGCTTCCAAGGTTACGATGTAACCCGGCACAGCGGGGCATCGACAATGCGCACTCACAAGAAGACGCTGCGCAAGCGACGGCAAAGACTCGCAACGCCAGGCCGCGTCGGGTCTTTTCGGATAATTTAAGCACCGCTGCGCAAGCCCACAGTACGCGTGCGTCTCAACACTGGCAGGCACTACAGAAAACGAATGTGTAGCATTTAAGACGTTGTCACGAGCGTTGCGAGGCCCAGGGCTCTATCGTCTGTAAGTGTTGAAGGCGATGACGCTGAAGATGACGGTGACCCCGACCAGCGAGACAGTGGCGGGCGCGGTGAAGAGCTGCTTGTAGGCGATTCGCGTGTACCACACCACGACGAGCATCAGCAGGAACAGGGGCAGCATGAGCCCCCCCAAGTTCAGGCCGTCCGCGTTAGGGTCGGCGAGCGCGGCGTTGATGCGGGCGTTCCAGCCCGCGGAGGGAGGCGCCGTCGGCCGCTGCGATATGTGGCAGTGCAGCACGCAGCCGTGGTGCAGGCCGTACGAGGAGAGGGGCCGGCTGTCGTCATGCAGCAGGCGCCCCTGGTAAATCAGCCGCACCTGCTCCTCCTGTCCGGGGAACTCCACGCTGAAGTTCGCACCGTGGCACGAATGAAAACTCGTCAGAACTTTTAGGTTTTTTTTTAAACATCCATACACGGCGTACAGTAAAATCGCACAACGCGTGTATTTACTTGGTAAACCCGAAACAATTTACATTTGTAATGCACCGATAATTATAACAATTGTCTCAGAGTGCAGAATTAAAGGAAGAATGGGAGGTAAAGCGAGGGATATAGATAGGAAAGGAGAGAAAGGAAGCCATGAAGGGGATTCAAAGGTACAGTTGAAGACAAGGGATAAACATAAAAGCAGGGAGAGGGGACGAGGCAGAGGTGATGTGGAGGGAGTTCCAGAGCGCAGATGCATAGCAGTTAAAAGCACGTACAACAAAAATACCTTTTAAAATGTCCAATGGTGTCACTCGGCCGGACTCTGACGATTCTCTCGGTTTCATTCAAAAACTTGAGCCGGATCTGGATGAGTCTGTCACCTTCGGGAGCTGCACTACTGCTGTTCACAGCCTCTTCCAGCGATTCCGCACTGCCGCTGCTACCGCCGCTCCGCTGGTCCTCGGCTCTCCTGCGCAACACCGGGGAGTGGCTGGGACTACTGCTGCTTCGCGCTTGCGATGGCAAACCATGGTCTCCTACGTCCGAGGGTGATGAACCGCCTTCAACCGAGCCGCTGCCATGCGTGTCCGACTGGCTGTTAGCATCACCGGCCGCTTCCCCCGTGTTACCGCTGCCACCGGTGGCCGAAGCATCGTGGCTTGGTTCGGGGCTTGGTTCGGGGCTCGCACCACCACCACCGTCGCCGCTGCTGCGGTTGGCTGGCTGCGGTGCGGTGTGCGGGGCGGTGTGCGGTGCGGCCTGCGGGGGCCGTCCCCGAGCGTCTGCAGGCCCCGTGCGGCCCCAGCTGTCGGCCATGCTCGTGGAGAACCAGACGACGGCGAGCGTGGCGAAGCCGAGCGCCGCGGTGCATACCACCAGCACCTCGTCCGCGATGCCCTCTACCAGCACCATAGCTGCACCTGCACGGGCGTCGGTGGAAAACAGCGTCACGTTCACCACCGCCGATACCAGAGCTGCTGTACACCTGCAGCCTTAACAGACTGTTGGAGCAAGTGCTGTCAGCGAGCACCTATGCAGGCCGACACGGTAAACAAGGGAGTGGGTGCCCAGCACGATCGCCGTCTGTCTTTGTCTCCTCAGTGGTGATGTTTACACTCCGCACAAGGTACCCATTTGAGGCTGAGTAGACCTAGGGGAGGCCCAGGCCTAGTTCAGATAGTCGTCACCAGTGTTGGCCGTGAGCAGGAATCGAACTCGGGTCACCGGGTTCGTAGCGCAGCACGCAAACCGCTATCCGCTATCATACCACTTGCCGCTGTTACAGCTGCACGCGAGACTAAATAATTTACATGGTATAAATTCACGTCATTCATTCACACAAAGCATCAGCCATTTTCATTTTTCAGGAGTCGGCAGGCCTGGGGTCGATTACAATTGTGATTGTGTCATTTGCCATGAAATGCAGTCACAATGTAATTGTAATTTGAGATAGCAATGCTGCTGTAATTACCTTTACAACTACCCCAGATCTGGCAGGAGGATCTTAATCCACGAGAGTTCACTGCAATTCATTGTAGGGGCTGCTTTGTACACAGAGGAAGTGCATGCATATCAGGGAACAACACTAAAAAACTACAATGGGTTCACAAACCCATTTGCTGTCCCGCCATGTTCTGGTCAACTCTTTGTACAAGATTCTGGGTTAAGGATGTCTGTGGACATTAAGAAGAAGAGTTATAATGCAGGAGATTGTTATACACAAGGCAATTTATAAACGCACACAATATTTCACATATGCAAATGACCACGACTCCGAGGCCCGGAGCCAAACTCGGCATAGCTCGAAAGATGGGTGAAAAAGAGGTGGTGGGGCCTTTAAGAGTCTCTTAAAAGTCAGTGAAAATTGAATTCTGAGAATTTGCAGCAGGATGGTGTCACACACAATGAAAGCTGCCCAAGGAAGAAACGATGCCTGGCAGTAACAGTTCTGGTCCTAAGTATAGAGATGGTTTAAACTCTTGACAGTCCAAACATTAGCGCTGGAATTTTGCATTAATATTTTGAATAACACGGATTCTTAAGTTAAAGAAAACATGAAACTCTCCAACCCTAAAAAAAGTCTTACCTAGACAACGTTTTACCAAACCCAACACTGTGCACCAATCTCGCCTACTGCGAGTGTCCAAAGACCCAATGGAGGCTCAGAGGATGTCTTCCCGTTACCTGTGGACAGGTGAAAGAAGTAAATGTCGCAAAGTGGATTTGCCGGCTTCCACTCCTCAAACTGCGGTGTGAAAAACGGCCATTATCAAAGATACCAATTCACAAACCACTTATTTAGTTTGAAACTAGTTTATCAAGTGTTTTTACACTTGCTTTGCATATTTTCCCAAGCACCTAGTCTGAGTGCTTGCATTTAAAAATGTTTTTAAATCTCTGTTGCAAAATGCCTGGCTCGTAATTGATTTAAACAAGGAACATACCACCTCCTGCTTTACCTAGCTACCTGGCAAGGTACATTCATCGCATTGCCTATACAACACGGTGACTGGGAGCAATGGCTCTGCATCATGACTGCATGCAGCGATCTCATTGTCATTGGTAGAGAGAGTGCTCAATCAGCTTTTCGACTCCGCTCAGGACCCCAGCCAAGTTGTGGGTTGCAAGCCTTTTGCCCTCAATGTATTTAAGACCCCAGAAGGGAATTGCCTCGAACTACCTTGTCACAATCAATGCAACCCTCCAGGTGCTCTTCGTCCATCAACGAAGGTGTTTTTTTACATACTTTCTATCAACCTCTACCCACTCGCTCGCCATCATAAAGTCATCTCGGAGAATGTTAAACACCGCTGTCGTCGATGATTGTTGATGTGTCACGTGCCAAACCACGGCCTCCATTTCTTGAGACTCGCTCCCCCTGGACTATCTGCACTGTCAGGCAGAAGGCTCATCTTCAAATCAGATTTTTAAGTAAAAATAAGTTGTTTATTCCTTGATATGATCAATGTAAACATGATTTATGTTAACGCGTTCTTTTTTTTATTGCATCCTCTCTCTGCGCTGCCTATAAACCCTCAACGACTGTCGAGTTTTGTTACTGCCTTGCCTCACACAAGCAAGGGAGAAGTACCGACGTCCACTGTATGCCAAGCGAGTGATGAAAGTGCCACATTCACATGGCGAAGGTCAGCCATAGAATGCTGCTCTCCATAATCAATCTCTCCTCAAACTCAATCCTCTTGTATCACCCATAATTGTCCACCTAGTAACACAAACGCAAAACGGATGCTCTGTTAATCCAATCTGCAATGTTACATCTTGTAATATTTTGTACTACTTGCCCAACTCACCGACTGCACGATGGTAACCACAGCTCTCTCAATAACCTCGCGCGATCATTACTGTGCTCCTCTGCAATGCCTGCGGATTACAACACTCCCTCATCCTCTTCCTTGCCTCGTCCTGTCCGCTATCGGGAAAAGGCAGTGAACATGGCCAACGCATGACGATAATTTAACCACCGCACCACATGCAAGCCAGAGGAATCTCTCAATGAGGCCCCGTCAGCATTTGGTGCGGAGACTCCACTACGTCTCGTATGTAATAATGGGGAGTGCACTACGCCTCATCAGTACAGTAATGTACTACCTGTACACGTTATCGATATCAGTGGAATGTATCACACACTGATAAATATAACAGGACAAACCAATACCGATGAGATTGTGCACATGGGCTCTACAGGTGACATAGCAAAAGACCGTATAACGCTTTCAACCATGCGTTTGTCATCGGAAGCGTTTAGTTAGCGATAATAATTGCCGACCCGCCCATCCTGGACATCTGTGAAAAAGAGCTTCATAGCTCATCAGATTCCTCCGATGGAGACGGAACGAGTGAATAACGCAAACACGGGCTTCATCCCATTTGGAGAGAAAAAAAGAAAACCAGTACAGATGAGATAACAAGGTATAAAAGAGAGAACGCAGAATGGTGAAGCACACCTCATTAGAACCACCAACACTTGAACAGCGGAGATGTAGAATCGCTCTCACTAGAAGCAGTGCCAGTGTGCCGCTGCATATCACGTTACCCGACATCATCAATGCTGCAGGTTCACAGGGTGACCAGTTACATAACGTCCCAGATTCTACCTGCTCCGGCAATAGCCCAACGCTCAAAAGCCAATGGTGGGCACTCCGCATTCCCATGACCAGGCCTGTACATCCATGTGGATCAATCGCTATTCAAAGTACTGTAATCATTTACAGGGCGCTTACATTCCTCGGCAAACTCAAAGGGGGCTTTGCATCACACCTCAACTCAACCATAAACACACGCACTGCTGTAGTTTGGTCAAGGAGACCCCCAGCGGCAGGCAGCAGTTCGTGTGCGGCACGGGTGTACGCAACAATGGGCTTGCCAATACAGTCGTTGTTAAACGTTACATTTCGATTTAAAGCTTTCGTGACTGCAGGGATTCATCTTCTTGGTTCTTTCGGTAAATACTCTTAGGTTTTTTCGGTAAAGTGACGTAGGTAAAAAATAAAAATATAAATATTTCTATTATTATTTCTATAATTTTTTATTTTTTACCTACGTGACTTTACCGAAAACACATAAGAGTATGAATCCTTGCAGTGACGAAAGCTTCAAATCTAGAATCTTTCGGTAAAGTCACGTAGAAGGGAAACAATAAAATAATACGTCCATGCACAGGTTAGCGTTCGCACTAGTTCTTATGCAGCAGAGCTTCCCGGACAAACGCGTAGGAACTAAATAGTAGCGTGTGTGGTGTGAGCTCCGTATTCTGTCCATCCACACACGGAGCACGACAGCAGAGCGACTAACAGCGGCGCGTTAAGTTGCACCACCATCACCCGTCACGAACGCGCCTCGAAACAACAACGCAGACGCGGCGTGCGACCCGCTGGTGTGTAGGGAAGGGTGTAAGGAAACTCCACAGTAGCATGGCCAGGGCAAGTCCATCCACTCGCGGCGTCTCAACTCTGCCTGCTACCCGCTGGTGTGTAGGGGGGGGGGTGTAAGGAAACTCCACAGTAGCATGGCCAGGGCAAGTCCATCCACTCGCGGCGTCTCAACTCTGCCTGCTACCCGCTGGTGTGTAGGGGGGGGGGTGTAAGGAAACTCCACAGTAGCATGGCCAGGGCAAGTCCATCCACTCGCGGCGTCTCAACTCTGCCTGCTACCCGCTGGTGTGTAGGGGGGGGGGTGTAAGGAAACTCCACAGTAGCATGGCCAGGGCAAGTCCATCCACTCGCGTCGTCTCATCTCTGCTTGCGACCTGCTGGTGTGTGGTGGGCGAAGGGTGGGTGTAAGGAAACTCCACAGTAGCATGGCCAGGCCGAGTCCGTCCACTCGCAGCACCCGCGGCGTTTCAACCTTGCTCGCGACCTGCTGGTGTGTGGGGGGGGGGGAGGTGTAAGGGAACTCCACAGTAGCATGGCCAGGCCAAGTCCGTCCACTCGCGGCACCGAGGCAGGAGGCGTGCGAGTGTGGCGGCGATGTTCGTCGGCGTACAGTGCGGAGATAGATGCTCACCACTTTCACCTCTCGCTGCGTTCCGCCGACAGTGGGAGTGGAGGCACGGGGCTGCTTCTCCGCTGGCGCGAGGCGACTGCGTGGAAGCCGGCAGGGGGTTCGATGAGGCGTAGAGCAACGCGCGAGATCAATGAAACGCGATGAATATTGGAGAGGAATTTTTTATCACAGCGCCTCAAGTGACGGCAGCAGCCAACCCACCCCCCTTCCTTCGCCACGTGACCCGCGCGGGAAAGTGAAATCGATTTTTATAACGAATTACAATCGATTCGATTCTTCCTGGCTACGCGTGTTAGAGCCGTCACACCGGTGGGAATCGACCGCGGCGATTTAGTCCCCGAGGTCGATTCCGCTTTAAAGTGCACGCGGCGGTAGGTGAGTTGCGTCGATTCTCAGGAATCGATTCAATGTCTTTGGGGTTTTTTTTCATTCTCGTACAGTGGTTGCTATGGGATTCAGTTTCTCATCCAAGGCGAGCCGAGTTTATTTTGTTTAACCCTGGTGAGAACTCAGGAGACCAGGATCCATCTGATTTGCAAGAGTCACTATTTAGTCTGCTCGTAGAGAGGGGGGTGGGGGGGTGAGGACGATGATTGTTGTTACGGCTAATCCCAATTGGGTCAATTTTGCGGTGTCATTTTTTCCATTCTAATTTTTTTTATTTAAAAGCCTGCACACGATGGCCTCCCCTTGCTAATGGCGGGAGGGAATCTTTGACGTCCACAGCGAAGCAGGCGGCTTGTAGTATCATAGTTGCGGTTATTCCGTACCGCAGTATTGCCCAGGGCGGCCGCTGGGTTGAACCGCGAACCTCTGCGGCAAGTGTCGAAGTCGCCGACTCAATGTTAATGACTTTTAAAAAACAAATGTTGCTTATGTTTAACGCTTGTCAAATCTCACGTACACGGTCGAGGTGCTGTGATTGAAACTCAAATTGCGTGATAGAAAATAGTAAAAACTTGGCTTAGAGAACATACGCAGGTGAGTAAATACAAGTCACTGAGGCTTGTGCCACGGCTGTCAAAGATCAGACTCACAATTTGTATTTATACCGGAGGAATCCGATGAGCTGCAAAGCTCATTCTCACAGATGTCCAGTAGGGACGTGTCAGAAACAAAACAAAAACACGATCGGAGTGCAACGTATAGGAAAGGTAAACAAATCACTTAAAAAATGTACACTAATAAAGCGAAATTTTTTTTTGTTTTATTTTACCAAGCCCACTTACGAATTAAACTTATACTGGTAGGAACCCACTGGTTCCACCAGCCCACAGGGGATTATTGTGTCCGTCCGTCCGTCGTGAAGGGAGGGGCTGGGTGGGAGGGGCTGGGGAGGGTGGGGAGGGGCTGGGTGGGGAGGGTGGGGCTGGGTGGGGTGGGGAGGGGCTGGGTGGGGAGGGTGGGGCTGGGTGGGGTTGGGTGGGGAGGGGCTGGGTGGGGAGGGTGGGGCTGGGTGGGAGGGGCTGGGTGGGGAGGGTGGGGAGTGGGAGGGGTGGGGCTGGGTGGGGAGGGGCTGGTCACCCCGTGGTGCCCTTATAAAACTCAACGTTTAACCTACTCACGCCGGCTTGTGCCCGCCCTCACAGTCGGGCATATTTGCGGAATACACCACGCCGCCGTTGACCCTGGCCATTGACCGAGCAACCCAACGTTCCTACCAGCTCCCTCCGCAGGAATGCGTTTTTTCAGAAGCCACCTGGCCACAAATGATATCTCAACAAAGTGGCTTATCGCGTGGAAATTGATAATGGGCCCATGGTCAATAATTATAATAGAGTCCGAGAGCACGTCCCGCGAGAGATGGAGCTTTTGGAGGCCTTCATCCAGCAGTCGATCGATCACGGCCGATGGATTTGGCGATGAAGTCTCAACGCCATGAGATGTGTCGTGCATGTCCCGTGCGTGTGACCACCACGGCGAAACTAAATGCCACTGTTGCTTTTCACAAAGCCGTACGAAAGAAGGAGAAATTCGATTTAAAGCTTTCGTGACTGCAGGGATTCATATTCTTGGTTCTTTCGGTGAAGTCACGTAGAAGGGAAATAATAAAAAATTACAACAAAAATTATCACGACGTTTTGATTGCAACACAAGCAATCATCATCAGGTGTGAAAACCACAGCGAGAACATTTTCTCGTTGTTTAATTTTATTTTATTATTTCCCTTCTACGTGACTTTACCGAAATAAGCAAGAATAAGGAGCAGAATGCCACTGTGGACGTCCGCTGTCCACGGAGAGGGCTTCGGGAGGGAGAGTTCCTGGAATTGTGAGATTCCTCCGTCGAAGGAGCGCAGACTGCCCGTGGAGCGTGTTCTTGTGTTTATTCAGTGGGGTGATCGGGGGTGTTTAGTCCCAACGAGTCGGTGGCGTCTACTTGGTGGTGGTGGTGGCCGTGGCGGTGGTGGCCGTGGTGGTGGCCGTGGCGGTGGTGGCGGTGGTGGCCGTGGTGGTGGCGGTGGTGGCCGTGGTGGTGGCCGTGGTGGTGGTGGCGGTGGTGGCCGTGGTGGTGGCGGTGGTGGCCGTGGTGGTGGTGGCCGTGGTGGCGGTGGTGGTGGCGGTGGTGGCCGTGGTGGTGGCCGTGGTGGTGGTGGCGGTGGTGGCCGTGGTGGTGGCGGTGGTCGCCGTGGTGGTGGTGGCCGTGGTGGCGGTGGCCATGGTGGCGGTGGTGGCCGTGGTGGTGGCCGTGGTGGTGGTGGCAGTGGTGGCCGTGGTGGTGGTGGCAGTGGTGGCCGTGGTGGTGGCCGTGGTGGTGGTGGCGGTGGTGGCCGTGGTGGTGGTGGCCGTGGTGGTGGTGGCCGTGGTGGCGGTGGTGGCGGTGGTGGCCGTGGTGGCGGTGGTGGCCGTGGTGGTGGTGGTGGCCGTGGTGGTGGTGGCCGTGGCCGTGGTTGCCGTGGTGGTGGTGGTGGTGGCCGTGGTGGTGGTGGCCGTGGCCGTGGTGGTGGTGGCCGTGGTGGTGGCGGTGGTGGCCGTGGTGGTGGTGGTGGTGGCCGTGGTGGTGGTGGCCGTGGCCGTGGCGGTGGTGGCCGTGGTGGTGGCGGTGGTGGCCGTGGTGGTGGTGGCCGTGGTGGTGGCGGTGGTGGCTGTGGTGGTGGCCGTGGCCGTGGCGGTGGTGGCCGTGGTGGTGGCGGTGGTGGCCGTGGTGGTGGTGGCCGTGGTGGTTGTGCACTGTGCCGGGCTGCGGCCACGTGACCTCGCCCGAGGCCGTCGCCACGGCAACGGCGCCACGCGCGCCCAGAGACGTCGCAGGGAGAAGCCGACTCGGTGAGACGTCAAGACACAGACACTACTCAAGACACAGACACCCAAGACGTAGACACTCAAGACACAGACACTACTCAAGACACAGACACCCAAGACACAGACACTCCTCAAGACACAGACACCCAAGACACAGACACTCCTCAAGACACAGACACTACTCAAGACGCAGACACCCAAGACGTAGACACTCAAGACACAGACACTACTCAAGACACAGACACCCAAGACACAGACACTCCTCAAGACACAGACACTACTCAAGACACAGACACCCAAGACGTAGACACTCAAGACACAGACACTACTCAAGACACAGACACCCAAGACACAGACACTCCTCAAGACACAGACACCCAAGACACAGACACTCCTCAAGACACAGACACTACTCAAGACGCAGACACCCAAGACGTAGACACTCAAGACACAGACACTACTCAAGACACAGACACCCAAGACGTAGACACTCAAGACACAGACACTACTCAAGACACAGACACCCAAGACGTAGACACTCAAGACACAGACACTACTCAAGACACAGACACCCAAGACGTAGACACTCAAGACACAGACACTACTCAAGACACAGACACCCAAGACGTAGACACTCAAGACACAGACACTACTCAAGACACAGACACCCAAGACACAGACACTCCTCAAGACACAGACACTACTCAAGACACAGACACTACTCAAGACACAGACACTCCTCAAGACACAGACACTACTCAAGACACAGACACCCAAGACACAGACACTCCTCAAGACACAGACACTACTCAAGACACAGACACTACTCAAGACACAGACACTCCTCAAGACACAGACACTACTCAAGACACAGACACTCCTCAAGACACAGACACTCAAAACACAGACACCCAAGACGTAGACACTCAAGACACAGACACTCAAGACACAGACACTACTCAAGACACAGACACTCAAAACACAGACACCCAAGACGTAGACACTCAAGACACAGATACTACTCAAGACACAGACACCCAAGACACAGACACCCAAACCACAGACACCCAAGACGCAGACACTACTCAAGACACAGACACTCAAGACGTAGACACCCAAGACACAGACACTCAAGAGACAGACACTCAAGAGACAGACACCCAAGACGCAGACACCCAAGACGTAGACACTCAAGACACATATACTACTCAAGGCGCCGACACTACTCAAGACACAGACACCAAAGACGCAGAGACTCAAGACACAGACACCCAAGACACATACATTACTCAAGACACAGACACTCAAGAGACAGAGACTCGTAGGGACACACACACCACACACACACAGAGACACAAAGAATGAGACAGACGCAAACAGTCAGACTTATACTCACAAAGACCCCTTGAGACACACAGAGTCGTGAGACCCGGATACTCGCACAGAGGCATAGAAGACACGCAGACATTGAGACTCAGAGACGTAATCAGAGACATAGATACTAAGACGTAGAGACACACAGATTCATACATACTCACAGACTCATAAATACTCACAGACACATACATACTCACAGACACATACATACTCACAGACACATACATACTCACAGACACATACATACTCACAGACACATACATACTCACAGACACATACATACACAGACTACATACATTCTCACAGACACATACATACTCACAGACACATACATACACACAGACTCATACATACTCACAGACACATACATACACACAGACACATAAATACTCACAGACAAATACATACTCACAGACACATACATACACACAGACACATACATACACACAGCCACATACATACACACAGACACATACATACTCACAGACACATACATACACACAGACACATACATACACACAGACACATACATACACACAGACACATACATACTCACAGACAAATACATACTCACAGACACATACATACACACAGACACATACATACACACAGCCACATACATACTCACAGACACATAAATACTCACAGACAAATACATACACACAGACACATACATACTCACAGACACATACATACTCACAGACACATAAATACTCACAGACAAATACATACACACAGACACATATATACACACAGACTCATACATACTCACAGACACATACATACACACAGACACATAAATACTCACAGACAAATACATACTCACAGACACATACATACACACAGACATACATACTCACAGACAAATACATACTCACAGACACATACATACACACACATACATACACACAGCCACATACATACTCACAGACACATACATACACACAGACAAATACATACTCACAGACACATACATACTCACAGACACATACATACACACAGACACATACATACTCCCAGGTGATGGGGCTGAGTACACTCTGTTGTGCCCGATTCGGGATCTCATCCACACTGCCCCATTGCCTCTCAACACACAAAGGGTCCCTGGCAGAGGTCGCAACCGGGTACCCGATGCCCGTACCCTCCCCGATACCCGTTTGCGACCCTGGTGCGGCCGGGTACGGGTAAGGAATCAAAACCCGTTTGCGACCTCTGGTCCCTGGGTGGTACAAGCGTGAAGGTTGTCGCGGTTTTTGGTTCTGCTATCGGTTGTTGTGTTTGTATGTTGAGTACCACTGCGTAATAATGTTGATGTTCAGCGTGGTGCCCGACGACATTTAAGAGCCTCTTGTAGGGGGGGTTGATTCATTGAGTTTCTGTAAGATGCTCCCAGTGTGTGGAGCGAGAGAGAGTCGGACATCATCACATGCGTGGAGCTTCAGGTTCTGTGAGACGTGGCCACCTTGGCGTCTTTGAGACTGTGTGTTGGGAAGAGACAAACATTTGTCAACTTTGTCATTTCGGTTTGCAAATTTGCTAAATTGGCCCGCGAGGCTGGCACACAAATTGCCAGCTTCTGTGCATGAATTCACAGGAGGTTGTTAGCATCCACTTCACAATAGATGAGAATCATAAACGTATTCTTTGTTCTTTCGGTAAAGTCACGTAGAAGGGAAATAATAAAATATAATTATTTATTATAAAATTTAATTTCTTGCTGTGGATTTCACACCTAATGATGATTGCTTGTGTTGCAGTCGAAACGTGATAATTTTTATTGTTTTATAATGTTATTTTATTTTTATTTCCCTTTTACGAGACTTTACCGAAAGAACCAAGAATATGAATCCCTGCAGTCACGAGAGCTTTAAATCAAAATCATAAAAGTGTTATGGTCGTCATACTATATGATTCATATTGACATTTTAATTAGCATCGCATCAACTAAAACTTACACAATGCTATACGTTTTAAAGGTGTTTGCACTTTAGGACCTGTTGCTGTTATGATATTTGTGTTTCATGAAGTTAATTTCCGAGTTTTAATTTGTAGCACCCCATAACCTTTTTGCTGTCGTGATGTTTGCGGTTGTGACGTTCGCAACTTTACTTTTTAATTCACAGCATGATAACTGGTTGCTTCTGCTATCTTTAAGCGTGTGTTATAATTGTTTCGTGACTGAAGGAATTAATATTATTGGGTCTTTCGGTAAAGTCACGTAGATAGGTTCAAAAAAAATAAGACGACCGCTTGTGTTGCGATCGAAACGTCGTAGTTTTCTGTTCTTTTTGATGATTTTCTTTGAACCTATCTACGTGACTTTACCGAAAGACCCAAGAATATGCAGTTTTATGTTAATTCTATTTTTTTCACCCAGGTCTCCTTCAAAAAATAAACTTCTGGTCTCATTTTACAGCTCTTACCTGGTGATAAAGGTATTATTTGATAGTAACTTCACACCACTCTAAAACACTCTTTAAGCGTAATGCACTCTGTCAGCATTAAACACAGAAACGTGCGTGAAGAATAACAAGTATTAATACAGTAATTCGCCCATCGTATTGGTACCTGTACATTGATTTTTTTTTACGTGAGATTACATTGGTGGCGAGAGTGAATGAATACTGTTTATAGCTCTGAACACAATGACTGTAGCCAATAGTAAGAACAAGCTCACGCTTATATACGTGTGAATACATACAAGTCATTGTCTGGGGTCTCCCAAAGCTATTGTCAGTGAATATGCATTTGACCATACTCACCATGCTAGTGAGTGTTGGTTGGTCAGAGGGAGACACCCAGGCTCTGTTCAGATATCGCTCGCCACTGATGTTAGTCAGAGCCATCAATTGAGATCAGGTCACTGCGTTCAGATCGCACTGCGATAACCATCACTTCTCCCCAATAAAAACCTGTTACTGTGATCATAAAACTCATTTTTTGCCTGGAAGAGCAGTGGCACAGTGGTTAGCAGACCCACGATATGAACCCGGTGACCTGATTTTCATCCGGGCCACATGAACAGGTCCTGGATTCCCCACCCTTTACCAACCCACACTGAGCAGTGTGGTGAAGTATTGCCGAATAACCCCCAAGACGCTGGGCATGGCATGGAGTGGCCTCCAGCAGTGGTTTGACAAAGGGCTGTCCACTGTCAACCACAATTTGATTACATTAAGCTACCTTTGAAACGATTGCGGTTCCCCTCGTTCATGAGTGCAGCATGGCTCGGCGACGGCTCGAGGAGGCGGTGATCACAGCGAGGGAGCTCAATGAACAGCTTGAGCTGATGAAGCCGGAGCAGAGCTTGCAGCATCCCCAGCATGTGCCCCTGCCCCGGGACAGCTATGGCATCTACAGCCTGCAGTTCTCCCACAGCGTGCGCAAGCTGGCCGTCGGCTTTGGCAATGGGGCTGTGCAGGTAACCTGCTCCCCCAGCATAATGTCAGACCTGATCAATCCACCGCTGAATGTGAGGCATCCCCCGAGCTGTCACCATCTCTCGCAATCCCGCAATTGAATTAATTAAAGCAAATGATCCCAACATGAATTTTCTGAGAAGCCTTCCCCCATAAAAGCTACACTTTCAGGGATGTGCATGCTCTGTAAATATTTACTGCGGTTGAAGACATTTGAATTACAGTGTTTGCACCATTGTTCCTTGATTGGGGTTCGTCATCACCCTCCGTGTAGAACACATTTACATCTAACACATCACTGTCATTATTCGCAATGGTGTTTTTATTCTTTAGGTACTGAGGGTGCCGGACGGAACCCCACAGGCAGACCTGTGCCTTGGCCACCCAAAGCGACAGGCAGTCACCTGCATGGCCTTCCACCCCAAGAACATGGACCTCTTGGTGGCCGCGTCCGCTGACGGCAGCATCAACGTTTACAATAGCGAGACTAGCGAGTGTATCCTGTCGTTCACTGGTAAGCAGCGGCTTCACGCAGGCACCTTGTACGGTTGCGTCCACCTGTGTGGAAAGTTAAATTATACATTAATATGTTACAATTAAAATTTTAATAGAAACAGTGATAAATTTCCATACAGTACCTCTGTCAATCAACTGCTGAATGAAGGCACCTGTCCCCCCATCCCATGTTGATTTGGGGTTATTTGAGCATAGTGGTCAGTGTGGGTTGGTGAAAGAGAGATAGGACCTACGACCCGTTCTGATATCATCACACGTCAGTGATGTTTGCTGTGGCTGGGAATAAAACTCAGGTCTCTGGGTTCATAGCATAGCGGGCTAACCACTATGTGTTGGTTGGAACACATTAATGCACTTAATTCCTGTTCAAAAGCACTAATTTGCGTCTTATGAGTAGATTGGATAGGTTGATATACAATGAGAGTGGTAATCGGGTGGTGTGCCTTAAGCTTTATCAGTCCCATCAAATTTAAGTCAGCTTTCAACTTTGTGGTATGATATGGACTATGTTGGCTGCTATACATGAAACATGTAACAAGTACAGCTCAGTTTTGTTCTAGAAGCAGTGCCCATATACTGATGTTTACATTGTGCTAGAATATCACATCAGTCACCTGTTCATCGCTGAAGGTCTTCTTTCACAGCGTGCAGCTGTATGTGAAGGTTATCAATGAGGGTGAACACAATCGCGGCTCCCATTGAGCAGATGGCCCAGTTACGTTTTGGAGGGCTTGTTGACTTTTGGTGAAAAGATTGAGTTATATTTCAGCAAGTAATGTTCACATTTTTAAAATATATATGCAGTACATATACTGTCAATTTGACCACAGGAGGTTCAAGTATTTCATTTTGAGCAGGCTTTTTGTCTAACTTTGGATTGCTGTTTTAGAGTGTGGCAGTCTTTATGAACTGTAAGTAGTGCTGCGCCCAGATAAATAGCTCGGAGACAGCAATTTTTTTTCAAAGACCACTAATTTATGAAACAAAGATGATTGCATTTTAAACTCAGATTTCATAATTTCATAATACATTCATCTAAAATTAAATATACATCAGTAAATATGATTTATATACTCAAAATGTTACATGCATGACAAATCTCAAACATGGTCAATGATAAAATTGCTGTCAAAACATTTCAGGCATTCCAGTTTTCAGTTCAGTTGATTTTATTTAACCATGATAGAACCCACGCGACTAAGATAGTCTCATTTGGAATAGTGACCTGGGGATTGGGGGGTAAAAATAATCACTTGCCCCCTCCAATTTCATTTTGCCACCCTAACCCCCCTCCCCCACCCCTCTTAGAACCCCCCTTGACTTCAGTAACACTTCATTTTGCATATCTCTGTGTGGGACTTCACAGAATTCATGATGAACACATTACACAATAATCACTTGCCCCCCTCCAATTTCATTTTGCTACCCTAACCCCCCTCCCCCACCCCTCTTAGAATCCCCTTGATTTCAGTAATACTTCATTTTGCATATCTCTGTGTGGGACTTCACAGAATTCATGATGAACACATTACACGTTGGGCCATTATCCTCACTGTTAATGATTTAACTTTGCAGCATTCTGTTCCTCCTTCTATAGGACATGATGCCACTTTGTGAAGGGTGATCTATGTTAGGCTGCGCTGACCACGTGCTCTTTCTGCAGAGGAAGGAAATGAAATCAATGGACTTGATTTCTGTCTGGATGGAAGCGTTTACGCCACCTGCGGGAAGGATAAGAACATCCGCGTCTACGACAGTCAAACAAATCAGGTAATGTTGCAGTGGCCAGTACCACAAGAAACAAGAAAACAAAACGAGAGGCATCCTTAAACAATATGAAACACCACTGCAAAATGTGTGAATGTTTAATTTTAAAAAATCCCCTTTTGCAAATGCGAGTTTGTGTTTTTTGAGATAGCATCACCTGACTTGCACACAACAGCTGAGCAACCACAGCCTGTGCAAATAAAAAAGAAAAAATACAGTATTGATAAAATACGAGCGGGTACACCGGTGAATATTTGGGCAAGGCAAATAGAGTGGAGATTGCGTGCCATTCATGATTCATTGCAGCGATCAGTAGTAGCGAGATGGTGCCAAAGACACAACTGTGATCATTGTTAAATAACAAGACCTAACCTATTCAATTGTTTATTGCTGTGATTGTCCCACCTGATGACGGACGCTTGTGTTGTGCCCTGAAACGTCGTGATTTAATTTATTTTATTTTATACCTACGTGACTTTACCGAAAGAACCAAAGAGTATGGATCCCTGCAGTCACGAAAACTTAAAATATAGATTAAAAACAAACCTTACAAATTCATCTTCATACGTGACGTTTGTATATGTTTCTGATCTCTCATTTCTCTGGCTAGATGGTCCATATGTACGAAGCACCCGACATTTCCTGTGAAGACATCAGCCTGACCAGTGGGCATTCCCGTCGGATATTTGCACTCAAGTTTCATCCTGAAGAATTGCACTACTTCGTCACAGGAGGATGGGACAACTCTCTGAAGGTTAGTGCTCTCAGTTTGGACTGTAGTCTCTGATCAAATGAATGAGCCTCATGTTTAAGCCTCCATCTACATACATCGTTCTTTTGGTACGGTAATAATAAAATAATCGTGACTGCTGGATGAAGGCCTCCCCACACCTTTTGGCCATGGGTGTTGTTTGATTATACATCAGCACATTGGTCAGTGTGGATTGGAAAATGGGGCTGGCCCATGACCGGTTAAGATAGAACTTGCCACTGTGACAAGAGGAAATTAAGGTAACACAAAAGAGTTTTCAAAGGGTGTAATGAGTAAAAAATATCTGAGGTTTTTGATCTGAAATCTTACTGAAATAGTAAGATTCATAGTACACATTGTTTAACTGCAATTTCACGTAGAACAATGTTATGGCAACAAAGAAAACTTCACGCAACGAAACCTTAAAAGTACCTGTTTTCATAATTAGCGTTTACCGAGTGGAATATTACTCTCTTCAAACTTAAACAGAGCAGTAAGCACTCACATTCCTTTCTCAGATCTGGGACAAGAGGATAACGAGCTGTGCTCGGAAGCTTATCATCGGTCCACACATATGTGGCCCAGGCATCGACATCAAAGTAAGTTTTTACAGATCATTATTTTTCTATAAGAATAGATTTTACCCTTTCTGGCAATAAAACAGGTGTTAAGATGTTAAATAATCAAATAGGTACCTTTTGCAAGGAATCAAGTCTGCATTTACCACACATACTTGTGGTGAACATGCAAACAAACATGCTCTGATAACACTGGTCAACACACTTTTTCTGGCATAAGCTATTCCAACAGTTTTAATGTAATGTTGGGGTGCTGATCCCAAACCTGGCATCAGTTTTTGTCTATCACATCATGTTTTTGAGATATAAAATATTGCATTTTCAATAAAAACTGGATATCTACATAAAATGATATTATAAACACACTATCCTAAAAATACAGCACCATATTTAAACACTAAAGCAGTCACTGACTCGCAACAACTTGCAATCATAAGTGACAGAGTTAATTTCGGGTAAAATCAATGAAAATGGGGTATGCCGATAGCATAAAAATTATGTGATAGAGCAAATCTGAGATCAGATTTGGAATCAGCACCCTGAAATTAGTCTAAAACAGCTGCAAAAGTCCAGGCCAAAAATTATTATTTTTTTGTTGACCAGTGTAATATATACATTATCTTTGAAACTGATTGGCCTACACCAGAGACAGTCTTCTTTATGGCCTAGTCTCACCAGTGTCATATATCAGAAATAGCTGCTCACCCCGAGCTATAAATGCCCTGATATGTGAATTGTCTTTGTATTTTCGCCTATTGACGTTCTCTGGTATGACACTGGTGTTTGTTTGCATGTTCACCACAAGTACATGTGGTTAATGCAGACCTCATTCCTTGCAAATGGTATCTATTCGGTGTTTGAACATCTTAACACCTGCTTTATTGTCAGAAAGGGTAAAACATATTCTTATTTTTCATATAATACAATAAATTTGAAATGCCTAATTTCACTCGTGTTTTAAAATACTAAGTCACAAGTACACGTGAGAAGACGTTATTCTCTATTACCACAATAATGCAGTTTGTAAAAAGTGACAAGGTCAGAGACAGTAAACCATAACATGTTTGCCTAACATTTGCCAGGGCAACAAGGTTTTGACTGCGTCATGGGTGGCCCAGAACTCGCTGCAGCTGTGGGACTTTGGCAGCTGCAAGCAGGAGAAGCAGATCCCCATCCCGAGCGAGCCGCAGCAGAGCGAGTTCTTGTACGCTGCCCAGTTCTGCAGCCGCGACGTTGTCATCGCTGGTGGCAGTGGCACGAACACTGCTCATGTCATCAACTACAAGACTGACCAGGTGAAACAAACCACAGTGAATCCTTTCCCGTTCCGATGACGTACGGAACTGGAAGAACAAAATAATAAAATAACTTGATTGGTTCCGAGGCTCACACAAGGCCATGCGGGAGGGCGTGTGGTACAGTTTGGTGCCAGCTATCATAGAGTGTGGTCATGTCTCTACAGTTCTCTGCGGTGAGTACAATGCCTTTAAAAACAACGGCCCCTACGCCTCTCTAAATAAAATGAATGCTGAACCGCTTGCAGAACCGCAAAGGGTTAATGTCTTTGCAAGTGGCGCTTAAACCAAGGATCGCATTACTGCATGTGGTGGTGTTGTGTACTGTAAGGTTGATGGATATGCAGCCACATAGTATTTTTGCTATATTTGTGTGATAGAATGTCAGCACGTAACAATCGATTACGATGCATGTTTGTGGTCTCGGTATGTGCCTTGGATCGTGCATGAAAGATTTTATTATTCATGATGTTTGCAAATAATATGCAAAAGTCACAAACATTCCTTTTTTAAATCCTTTATATTAAGTTCTCTTGCTTGCTTGCTTGCGTGCTTGCTTGCTTACGACCGTGCAAATCTTTCGGTCGTTTTTTAACCCACTTCCCGTGATCCAATCGAGCTGACATTTTGCACACAGACTCGTTGTGCGAGACAATTAATGTTCGAGAACATTTTTTTCCAAAATTTTACACTGTTTAGGGAAAACAAATTAAATATTTAATTACCAATTGCTTAATACTGGCAGACAATCATCTGACCCATAGGTGGCAGCCATCTCAAGCCAGAGGACGAGAGGACTCTAGCCGCCACGCATATAAAGGATTTATAGTGAAAAACTTTGTTTTTACGGGTTATACTTATTTCCGCCTTGGTGTTTTGTATTTTTAGTTTGCATTGAAAAGTGCTTGATATGCTATTTTGAAATGCTAAATATATGCAAGTCCTTAAACCTGTATGTCCCACCGTAAGAGAGGTAGATTTACAAACATTGACAACAGGATTCTATGCATTTAAAATCAACCAAATCATTACATTATATTAATCATCCAGTTTTATCACGTGCTATTTGTGAATCATCACAATATATACAATCTCTGCATTTAATCTATGTTGGTGCCTCAGGTGGCTCAAGTGTTGCAGTCCACGTTGAAAACTTTCACAGCCTGTACGTAATTCTGACCGGCCCACCTGCCTTGCTGTGCTGTGTGTCCATGGCTCTGTGTGTGTGTGTGGCAGGTGCTGGGCAATGTGCCAATAGGAAAGGCTGTGCAGGTACTGGACACTGCTCTCGGGGGGAAGCACATTGCTGTTGCTGGAGTTGGTGGCAATCTTCATCTGACATCCTTAGTTTGACTATGCATGTATCTTTGTATGTATGTTGAACGTCTTTCGCACCCTACGTAGCCAACCGTGCTAATCGGAGGTGCGAGACCTTAGAAAGCAACCTACTGCCTTGCTTCGTCCGGAGGCGCACGCTGGTGGCAATTAAAATAGATCAATTAAACCGAGTCAACAAACGCGAATGTTCTATACTGCCCCACAAACTAACAAAAGATTACATTATGCCGAACCTCTCGAATGATATTTTCATTTTGTAAGATCAAAAACATTTTGAAATTGTAAGCCCCTTTGCAATGGGTAATTCATTGCCCAGATGCGATATGTAATCAATGTTAAGTGCCACTATCGTGCACATTGTTTTTCTCATTGATGATTGTAATGTACATGTACACACGTGCATTTCTCTGTGCAGACGCGCTGTGCTGCTCATCTCAAAGTAGTCTGATACGGCTGGGTGGCTAGATTTATTCAAATGACTGATTCTGAGATAATTCAGTAATTCAATGGCACATGAAGAAATAACATTTCCGTTTTTTCTCTGAGGCCAGCAGTTGCCCTCACACATGTACTCATGTTGTACATTATAACACAAATTAAATTTGACGACACATTCATATCACCAAAGGAGAGAATGGACACGAGAGGATATGCAGCACAGAGACAGCAATGAAATCAGCTTGTGTGCAGGAGCTAGATAGATCGTTACATCACAATACCATGAGAATCTAAATATTAATTTATACTGCAGGAATCCGATGAGCTATAAAGCTCTTTTTCACATGTCCAGTAGGGGCGAGTCAGAACATTACAAAAACAAACAATACAAAAACACGATAGGAGTGCAAAGTATAGGAAAGGTGGTGACGACTTTGGGAGGCCTTCATCCAGAAGTGAATAGATAATGGCTCATAATGATTCATATCTAAATGTGGCTTTGCTGACGAGGGCCGTGTGGAAGGATGTGGACATTTCTAGGCATCACAGCCCTTGTACAACTTACAAATTCTAACTCCTACACAGTAATTGCTAATCTAATGGCCACTTGCAGTGTTTGTTACAAAAATTGATGCCATGACAAGGAGTGAAAATTTGATTTAAATGGGGTTTTTTTATCCTTGGGGCTTGCACTTAATTTTGGTAAGAATTTGGATGGAGGACAATAATGTATTGTTTTAGCTTTGTTTGGTCTTAGTACAATTGTGTTGCTATGCGTCTATGTCATTTGTTTGATGCATTGATGTTAAGTTTGCTGTTCAATATGTACTTGGATATTTTGATAGCAACGTCATGTAAATCTAGCTTGCAAATACAGTTTGTATTTAAATAATCGAACTAAATCCGTGCTAAACAATATAAAAGAAATATAACTACAGTAGTCTGTAAGCCGTTGTATTGTTGTTTACTGTTAAGCCACATTTGTTTATTGTCTTAAATGAAATGATTGTCTTTTTTTATTAATAAAGTAATACTGTGAGGATTCTCCTGTAATGATAGTCGTCACTCTGTGCGCAGAGCTCTTGTTTTCTATTTCACAGTCAAGTCTAGTGTATCCTCTGGTTTTTTTGGTAAAGTGCTTTCGCTAAGTTGTCCCCACATGAAGAAGGGCGCTTGTGTTGCGCCCGAAACGTCGTGATTTAATTTATGTAAATTTTCCACCTACGTGACTTTACCGAAAAAACCAAAGAGTATGAATCGTTGCAGTCACGAAAACTTCAAATCTAGAAAGTCAAGTGTATCCCTACTTAAGCAAGCACGGACGTAGAGCTCATGTATGTTGGCGATCCTGAGCCAGTGGTATTAATTCCACATTCTCATGGCATGATTTGATAGATCCCGTTCAAATATCAAAACTCAGCACAATAGCTTATAGCACTTCCCTAAAGAGGGAACATACATCTATCACAATCAGGGCAAAAATATCACAGAGAGACAAAGAGGTCGGAGATTGAGTGAATCATAGTTGGAGACTACATTTATAAATTAAATGTTAAGATTTTTTTTTTAATTGATGAATATCTAGTCAAGCTGGCATATGACCATTTACCCATTAGTGTATATTTAGTGACAGACAAACCCTTAAAAAGTCAATAATGTAAGCAGACACTCATTTGTTTTTTTGTAAAATGATCATAATATGCTGACACATTGCACATAGTAGCAAGGGGAAAGACATATGCTTATCCACTCAACAGCCTTTATTCAGCTATTGCTATATATTTTTTAAATAACAAAAAATAAACTTTGAGTGTAATTACTGGCCACAAAAAAATATTTTAAGGGTAAAGCTGCAGTGCCTCTTTGAAGTGGGTAATAATTTCAATGTGTTGAGATAGAACAAAAATCTTGGTTTTATTTTACTTGGATGGTATAAAATCAGTTGCTCTGAAACACGTTTTCGCATATTAAAATAACTTGTGAATGCATAAAAACTGAAACATGTCTGGGTAAAATGACAAAATAGTATGTTATTATATTCTTGGTTCTTTCGGTAAAGTCACGTAGAAGGGAAATAATAAAATAATAAAAATAAAACTTAAATTCTCACGACGTTTCGGCCACAACGCAAGCAGCCGTCCTCAGGTGAAGAAACAGCTGTCGGAAAGGCAGTATGTTATTACCCACAATGCATTGCCTCATCTGTTCCATCTCGTTTAGTCACTGAGCATGAGAAGTAAAACAAATTGCACACAAATTGAATTAAACAATTATCCGTCACAAGCATGACCAAATACGCACACCGTTCGAGATACTGGTGATGTTGGTTGTGTCACGCTTGTGATTGAGACTGCAGGTGGCGATAAACACACGCAAAACACTGTTTTAATTCATTGAAATAATTTTAAACCAGAGGAGAGAGAGCCTGTTGATATTAAACGCTCCTCAAGGGAAAGATAGTTTGTTCGAGTATTCTACGTCTAACTAAAACTGCAGATGTTCAGAATATTATATTGACATTCTCTTAAAATTATAAAATATTAAAAGTAATTAAGACTATAAAAATACTTGAAACTTTGTAGTAGAACGAAGCAAAATTTATACTACAATTATAACAATCACATATTCATTCCGCAGAATGAAAAGCCCTGGTAGAATCATTAAAATCAAAATGTTTAATAACAATCATCAAATTTTTTTACAAAATGTATGCTTCTCCATTCTCCCATGGAGAAGAAAAATGCTCTTTCATGGAATAACTAAAAGGTGACCTTAGTCAATTTAAATAATCAAATAGTTAATGAAAATTTTAAAAAATTAGTGTTCTAACAATTCTATTGAATTAATATTTATTTAAAGTTTCGCATTTTGATGTGACGTCACATTTCTCCACCCCCACCCCCCTCGTCACACATCGTCACAAATATCTAACCCCCCCCCTAGATGCGTGACGTCATTTATGGACGGACCTATACCTTTTTTTGATTTAAAGATTTCGTGACTGCATGGATTCATATTCTTGGTTCTTTCGGTAAAGTCACGTAGAAGGGAAGTAATAAAATAATATTAATAAAACAATCAAATTCTCACGACGTTTCGATTGCAACACAAGCAATCATCATCAGGTGTGAAATCCACTGCATCAAAATAAAATAAAAACGCCACTTTTTTCTAATTTTCTTGCAACACAAGCAATCATCATCAGGTGTGAAAACCACAGCAAGAAAATAAAAAAACACTTTTTTCAAATTTTCTTCCTGTGGTTTTCACACCTGTTGATGATTGCTTGTGTTGCAATCGAAACGTCGTCAGCATTTTATTGTTTTATTATTTCCCTTCTACGTGACTTTACCGAAAGAACCAATAATATTAATCCCCGCAGTCACGAAAGCTTTAAATCTAAAACAGCTCTGCTGTTGTGAATGTTCAACGTGGATCTGGAGAGGGGAGGGAGAGGGAAAAACCCCTCTGTGCTGGCATCCGGGGCCGTCCCCGTTCATCCCAAGGAGGTTACGGGAGGAACAGCGAGACCCCCAAACCCCAGGGGACCCCGGGACTCGACCCCCCCCCCAGACCCCCTTGAACCTTGAACCCCCCCGACCCCGAAGAACCCCCGGGACCACCACCCCCATCCCCCACCCCGGGAAGGATACGAACCCCCTTCACCCCTCCATACTGAACGGAGGTAAGCGCGGAGTCGAGCGTGTGGACTGGAGGACTTTTGACGGAGCGGTGTGGATGTGGTGTGGGGTGTGTGGTGTGGGAGGTGATGTGATGTGGGGGGTGGTGTGGGGGATGTGTTGTGGGGGGAGATGTGGTGTGGTGTGGTGTGTGGTGTGGGGGGTGATGTGGGGGGAGATGTGGCGGTGGGGGGTGATGTGGGGGGGGGTGATGTGGGGGGGGGGATGTGGTGTGGGGGGGGGGATGTGGTGTGTGGGGTGGCGGGGGGATGATGTGGATGAGGTGTGGGGGGGGGGGATGTGGTGTGGAGGAGGGAGCCATGAGCGGTGGTGCAGCGGTCAGCGCTGCGCTACCAACCCGGCGACGCGAGTTCGATTCCCGCTCACGGCCAACACCGGTGACGATTATCCGAACCGGCCCTGGGCCTCCCCTAGGTCGACTCAGCCTCAAATGAGCACCCGGTGCGGTGTGTAGTAAACATCGCCACTGGAGAGACAAAGGCGGTCGGGCGTGGATGTTGGCCACCCACCCCCCCTCGTGTGCCGTGCCGGCCTTCATAGGTGCTGCTCGCTAACAGCACTTGCCCCTACAGTCTGTCAAGGCTATACGGGGGAGCTTTCGTCAACTCGGCCGTATCGCTGCCAACAAACCCCTCATCAGTGCTCCTAGAAAAGGGGTCGTCCATAAATGACGTCACGCGATTTTGGACGATTTTTGACCCCCCCCCCCCCCATCATCACACGGCGTCACAAAAGTCAGACCCCCCCCCTCAAATATGACGTCACAAAGCTCTGCCCCCCCCCTCCCCTTTTTCTGGCAACAAAACAATGCATATATTATCAGAGTATGTTTTTGTTTGCATTCTGACCACAAGCATTGTGGGGAAAAAACCTATTGTCATATTTTGCTACTGGCAAAGGAGGTCCCATGATGTAGATGCTCACCCCGAGCTCTCATTACTCTGATAGTGGCATTGTCTTTGGGCTGTACGACTTTTGGCGTCCTCTGGTCTAGCACCGTTTGAAACGAAGCTCTAAAGAAAGCTGTCTCTGGTGTGGACCAATCAGCTTCAAAGACAATGCATATACTATCGGAGTATGTTTTTTGTTTTCATTCTGACCACAAGCATTGTGGTTAATGCAGACATGATTCCTTGTAAAAGGTTTCAGTTTGGTGTTTTAACATCTTAACACAGCTGTTTTGTTGCCAGACAAAAGGAGAAAACCCTATTATCAGCTCCATATGCTATTGAGTGAAATGGAAAGCCTACTGGTGGCATCAGTAGCAGTAGGATTGTAAAATCATTATCTTCTCCTGCAGGTAGAGTGTACAATCTGCTCGGATGATTGCTGTGTTTATTGCAGACAAGCAGCGTTGGGTGTCGTAAGCTGCCCGGCTGGGCTTAGGAGAATTCCAGAGGGAGGTGCGGCACCTTTCCGCTGTGTGACAGTAAATAGTTGTTGCCAGTGTGTGTGTGCGTGCACGCATACCTGCACCACAGGTTACCATTATCGCCTTACCGACTTCCAATTCAATAACAATGTGCATGTGTATAGTGTCTAAAGGTAGCAGGGCCGGATTGAGGCACGGGGCTTTGGGGTCCCCGCCAGCTGGAGAGGGCCTTCCGAGATGAAGTGGAAAGTTATTTCATTTGTGAATGCTGAATTGTATTTGTTGTTAGCCTTGTAAAAAAATACAATTTTCTTTTTCTTTAACTTTGTTTTCCTTTTGAAAATATTACTGGGGGGGGGGGGGGCTCACATTACCTGTAGCCCAGGGGCCTACAGAATCTTATTCCGGCCCTGATAGGTAGCCGTGCCTCAAGGTGCTGTACAGAAACGGTGTGCATACTTTGTTGATCGAGGCGACCGGTCATAGGCAGAGGAAAAAAGGAAGGAATTTGAGCCTGGACTTGAACAGGGGCAGGTAGCTGACAACACGGATGGATGGGGGAATGGTATTCCCAGACTGTGCTGGAGACAGCAGAGGAGAATGAGCGACTTCCTACTGTGCAAAGTTGACTGAGGACTTCAGCAGAAAACATTGGGTGCTGGAGCGAAAAGTGCTTGGAGGGGAGTAGAGTGAGATGAGAGGGGAGAGGTAGGAGAGTGCGTGGGGGGGAGTAGAGTGAGATGAGAGGGGAGAGGTAGGAGAGTGCGTGGAGGGGAGTAGAGTGAGATGAGAGGGGAGAGGCAGGAGAGAGCGTGGAGGGGAGTGGAGTGAGATGAGAGGGGAGAGGTAGGAGAGTGCGTGGAGGGGAGTAGAGTGAGATGAGAGGGGAGAGGCAGGAGAGAGCGTGGAGGGGAGTGGAGTGAGATGAGAGGGGAGAGGCAGGAGAGTGCGTGGAGGGGAGTAGAGTGAGA